ATATATATATATAGATATATATATATATATATATATATATATATATATATCTTTCTATCTTTCTCTCTCTTTCTTTTTCTCTCCTCCTCTTCCCGAGCATTCGTAACTTTGAAAATTTGATGGAATTGCAAAAAAAATGTACATAATTTCCATTTGATTTCTATTTTTTTACAAGAGAAAAGAACGGGAAAACTTATATGCACCTCAAGTATGTAGATGTAATTAATGTCGACGTTATCTTATGAAATAGTAATGTTAACTCTTCAGAGTTAATTTCTCTCTGATAACGACATCATGTCGATCGCAATTGTCGATTCGCAATCACTCCCGCGAATTACTCATCCCTGCATCGTCGTATTCGGCAGGGAACATTATCCGCGTCACGGCTTTCTGGGTCAATCTCTGGTTAGCTTCTTAGCTTTAGGTTGTCCGAGAAACTAAGCGCGACGGGTAAATCGAGGAGGCCGGTGTATACGCCCCGAGACCTTAGATCATCGGATCCTCGTAGATCTCCTCGCTTCGCTCTTGTTGCGCAACCACGCCGGTGATCTCGAGCACAGCGGTCCTGACACAGTTACCTGGTCAGGGCGTTACGACGGGATTAAGAGGAACGAGAAAAAAGGAAGAAGTCGAGAAACGTGAGCCATTCTCGAAGACCCTTCCCCGGCTTCACGGTTTGATGACTTTTTTGCGACCTCTCGTTGCCGGACAAAAAGGCCGTCTTGGACTCTTCGTCGTGGCTTCCCTCCATTTAAACCTCCGCACGGTTCTCTTCTCGCCGGCCGATTCTCTTTGCCGCGGCGGCGTGTTGCAACCTGTGCGAATTTTGGCCTTCAGCTCGGCACGCGGCCGCCGTCGTGTCGCTGACGCACATTAAAAGTTCCGTGCGGTACCACAACAATGTCCCATGACATTCCGAATGCTCGTCGCTGCGGCAAATTGCGACAACAATGGATCTGCCTACAATTTGGCGTAATCACGAGCATCGCCGCGTCGTTCTTCGCGTCTTCATGAAAGGAAAAGAAAACGTCGCCAATCGCGGCCGTCGCCAATTTATCGGAATCCTCCGTTTCACAAGCGTGTACTCGATTCGTCCCCCCGATCGTTGGTCCCCCAACGAGGTCTCCTCGAGAGAACCGGATGAACGAAAGGTTCGCCGTGTTGGTGTCACTTCAGGGTCGTCGATCGTGATATTTGAGGCTCATAGAGGCGGGTCGGAATTCGCGACTACGTCGCGACGGATTCTCCCCCCTCGTCGCATTCTATTCTCATGCGACGACACCTTCCTGCCAGGCTGCCACAGGGTTGACGGCGTGGCGTGCACGTACATGGTCCCGCCGCGGAACCCATCATTAGACGCCTACGCGGGCGAATATCGGCGAGGACGGCACGACGACACGATGTCGCTGACGGTGTCGTTGCGTCGTCGCGACATGCGCGCGGAATCGCGTCGCCCTAGTAAGAACGTCGTTGACAATAGCCCGCGCGCACCGGAAGCTTCGCTCGCTCGCTCGCTCGCTCGCTCGTCGTCGTCGTCGTCGCGCCACGGTGAAAGTTAATCATCCTAAACGCTCCCTTCGAAGATTAGCTGGTTCGGGACTCATCGTCGTGATGGAGATCGCATTAATTTCGCATTAATCTAGTTACGTCCGACACGCTAGAGAATGTTGTTACGTTACGAGAATGCTCCGATAATGCTCTGCAAAATGTATGATTAAGAAGAGAGAAAGAGAGGGAGAGAGAGAGAGCGGATTTGCAAGAAGGTAATTGAAAGCAGAAGCGGAGGAAATTGCAGCTTCGCAGTGTGTGAAAGTGAAAATTATCGAAGAAATATATACCGGGAATGTATAACGTCTCCTAAGCCTAATGCATGCTTTGTCTCTTGTAAAATTGATACATCCTGTTCGAGGTTGGTGCTGGAGTATCATGTAACGCAATAGAACGCGCACAGTCAAAGCCAGAGCCGATACTTGGGTAATACGAAGACGGAGATAATCCCCGTACAATAGATTTAAGACTTTATTGCATCGAGCGACTTAAATCTCGATGTGCTAATAGAGATATTGTAACACCTCCTCGACCGCCACGGGGCTGCGAGCCACCACGATGGCTGCAAACTCGTCTTTATTGTCGACGATCGAATCCTGCTCGAGTCTTCGCCACCTCGCTGTAATTTTCGTGGCGTCCCGCGAGCTAATCTGCTCTAAGCCAGCTGCCTTAAATCTTGCTTTAACGACGTCCGAGATAAGTTAAGAATGAAAATCTCGCTCGGTTGGCCCGCGGGTAGATTCTTCCACTTGCACAATTTTTGACCTGAATACTGCGACTGCTCCGAAGGATAATTACGAAAGGATATCGCGGGCATGAAGAAAGAAGCGCCGCACAAGGATGTTTCGAATCATTTCATTATCAATCGCGTACGAGTGCACTTCTGTTTATTTTATAAAAATTGACATTACATTATCCAGATAGCTACTTCCGGTTTGTTTTCAAATGTGCGGATCTCCCATCGTTCATGAGGATAAAAATTTGTTTAAACGGACTTCGGTGATCCTGTTTTGTCTACTAGTCAGTGAGGAGAATCTTTATTGGAGAACGATTGGTCTTATATCACCAGACACGCGTCCGAGTCAGATACAAAGTAAGACTGATATTGCACTTTTTGCAATTTTGATAAGTTTTTAAGTATTTTTTCTCTCAATGTGCAAACACAATTTATACATTATGACGATACTTTTGCTGAGCTTATTTAAAACATATTCTTATTTTTTGTAATTAATTGAGAAAATGACCATGACTTGACGGTCGAAACGTTCTATGGTGAATTTTCGTGCACGTGATTTAATTTGTACATATTTGCCTAAGATAAACAAACTCATTGTCCAATATCTGCATGATTTTCGAATAATTTAATTTTTTTTATTGTATATATATTTGGGTCGCGCGCACGAGCGTGCGACACTTTGCGTACACGCGAGATTTTTCCTCCAACACACACGCGAAACCTCCTACTCGCATGGTACGAGCAATTGCACAGGTAAAAGAAGACGCGCGTATTCCACGGGCAAGTGCATTTATGATAGGAACGATTGACGCGGAAGGGGCAGCGTGATTTCTGTTCTCTCTTGGATTGGTCACTACACCACGTCACGTTTTCAGTGGGAGGAGCGCGTTGTGTACGAATGCTCTGCGGTCGTGCATAGAGAAAATGCATAATGCATGCCTACGTAACTGTCAGCGATATGAGCATCCACGAGCGGCTTCGTTACACCTCTTCGCTTTATGCGGCACGCAATCACGTTTTCTTTGTGTATTTGTGCGCGCGTGAATCGTACTTCTGGCGGTCGGATGATAAATCGCGACGTGTCTGATTCGATAAGGATCTTGGAACAGAGGACAAAAACGATCTACTGAGCGCGCTTATCACGTCGTATCGCGTCGCCGTGCGTTTTCCGCGGGCATTTTCTGCTCCTTGCAAAAAGGAGTTGGTTGACGCCTTGATATACTCATGTATGTATTAAAATATACATACAGTCCAATAATTTTATGCGTCATTGCGGAAACTAAAAGCATCCCTCCTTCTCTCGACGCATAATTGTGCACTTAGAGCGAGACGCTTCGTTTGATCGATAGATCACTCCGTAAATCCGCTTTGCCTCGTCATTGCCTCTTTCGGCTTATTCGAAATTTCACCAAGTTGCCCGATTGCGATGCGAAGTCGATTCTCTCAGACGTGGTTTCGTCAGTGAAGGTTTCACGCAAACGTGGAGACATTAACGAGTCACGAGACACTCGCCAATACCGATGCTAATATGGCCCTGTGAATCTGACGAATAAGCGCGATCGCTCAGCGAGATCTCAACCTGATGAATCACTAGAAAATGTTCCGCTGTTTCGTCGACTTTGCGTCCGTCGCGTCAGGTGTGCCGCAGGACACTTTTGTACTTGTCACGGGACTTTGAACGTTGTACCTTCGGCGTAACGTCAACTGCTACTCGTGCCTCTGATGCAGGAAGTACGTCAGGATTCCATCGGTGATTTACATATAAAACGTATTGTTTTGCCCACGAACGGGGCAGGTCCTTGTGCTAGAAGCTATCTTTCCTTATCCTTGCAGGGTTGACAGCGTCGTGTCGTGTCGTGTCGTGTTGCGTTCAAGTGTCTCCAAGACGACGGTCGGAACAATGTTACTTAATCGACTGCCGACAGATTATCGGGACGAGGTAATCTTTCTCGTAAAGCTGACTGTGCGCGACTGCATACCGCGCTAATTGAACAATCGATATTTTTCCGTCGCGTCCGTGAGGCATAATGAAATTTTTTCGCCGCGTCGTCGACGATGTTCGTGCCGTTACCAAATTATCATTGAGTAATTGCAAAATGTAGTTTGCTACTTAGATCGCGCGATATCGTTGGCATGCGATGGTCAGCTCGAAGAGGTCCTTGAAAATCACCCGGATGACGCAACTAGAGCCAACTAGATGCTTTCATTGTACTCACCCACCTCACGCACGCCCAATCTGCCTGTTCGGTAATTATTTCTTCGCTCTCTCTTTCTCTCTCTCTTTCATTTTCTCTCGTCTGCTCCCTCTCGCGACTATAATTGGGTCGGTGGTAGACTCGTTTCTGGCTCTCTCGAGATGTCTGAATGTTACACGATACCGCGTTTGGTCTCTAAACGTCGGAGAGTTTGCGAAATTGTTTATCATCCAAGATGAAATATCCTGTGATATTCTTGCTGCTTCCGCATCCTCCGTTGCGACGAATTGTCTAACGAATTGTGTGACAGCGTGTATCTATTTGATATTATCACTGCGGAGAGATATCGCGCTATCACTTTCGAATTATCTATTCTCTCTGCGCCGTCTATCTTAGAATCGTAACTGGGCCAATGGCCAGATTTCTCTCCACATCGGACACTGTCCTCCCTCCTTTGGCTCGGCGTGTCCCGATCCTCCTCGACGATTACGGATCGACCGTAATTATTGCGATATCTAGCTTGCAGGCGATTCGGTATTTAGGATGACGTCAGCTCTGGTAATGCCGATGTCGATCTGCCGCTTCGATCGACCGAGTAATTCGTACCATGTACTAGCGCACTGTTACCATTACTGAACAACTGCACATTGTGTTAAAGTACGGAGGATACAGAATATCCTCAATCGCTAGAAACATCGTATTGTTCTTTTCTTCATAAAAAGAATGATCTTTCGATAAAAATTACACAGGGCTATTTTATTTCCTGCGAATCTTTGCTCCATTATTTGAGATGAGAACTAAGATCGTCATACATGTATTTTTTACGTTATTGTCATACCAGCTATTAAACTGCGCCTCCTTGAGAACAATGCAGAACGGGTTGTTTATCCAAGACGTTGTCGCGATGTATATGAATGCGTGAATAATTGCCACTTCCGTAATTACCCGTCAAATCGCACATTGTTCTTTTCATCGATGGCATTGCGAACACCGTTCAACAGATCGTAGGCACACATTGTCTATGGAGATGCGCGTGGCCGACTAATTGCCGCGCGTTAGCAGGTTGTGCTTCCAAGGGAAACAGGGTAGTTAGCTGATAATTTTTACATATTTTAGCATATTTAGACACGCCCGTCGTACGACCAACGTTCTCGCGTCCATCGAAATATTACCGAAGTTATCGTACAAAATTCAGACGAGCAGGGTATTGCAAACTTGCAGTGGCCAAAATGAAAAATCTCTGACTAATAACATAGTGTGTATATAAAAATAAAAATCGTATATTGATAATTTTACTAATATCATTCTCTGCAACTCGCGGAAATTGATAAATGCAAAAATAGTCACATGTGAGATTTCTACTCATCGTTGAGTCGTCAAGTGGCATCGCGATTGTTTTGATTGTGTATTAAAAACTTGAGGAACTACACATGTATTTAATTCATCAAAGTGCGAGTGCGGGCGAGCGCGAAAAGCATGAATGTTCGCGACCAGCCTAGCCGAACTCGGCAGTGCAAAGGGTTAAATGCGCGAGCGGAGCCGACTCGCGGAGATCCCCATTTACGAAGATAGAGGCGGTAATTCGCGGCGTTTTGTTCTCGGTGATTATGCACTTACACGCCCGCCGGAGCGCATCCACGCCTCGATGTGTACGTACATACTCCGGTGCTCGCGCGCGAGAGCTCGTACTCGCTCGCTCGCTTGTTCGCGAGTGCACGTGAGTGCACGGTCGTGCATTACACGCGGCCTGTGTCTCGGGTTGCTTCATTCCATTCGCGATATTCCACATTCTTCCCACACACGTAAGAACACATTGGTAGGTACACGGTGCCCGAGATGCCTGACGCTGATACGAACTGTTGGGTCGCCGCCACTACCACGCCGCGCCATTTATGGGGGGCCAAGAGAACATCGGAACCGTTTACGGGGCACACCGGGTACGTCCCACCTGGAGAATCCTCGCCGCTTCTTCTTGCCTGGGAAGCGGGTCCCCGTCGGTCGCGACTTTCGGCACCGCGATGCGTCGTCTCGAGGCACTTTGCGTCAACAATGTGGCGAAATATTTATTTCTGGTATGTAACATTCAATTTAATAACGTTGCATTTAATGTGATATTACACTTTGTCTGTGTTGTATGAAATTGGAATTCACAAGTGTAAAGAGCTAAAATCTCGACTTAATCTTAATTTTGAAGAATGATTTTCAAAATTGAGATATACCGAGCAATGAAACGATATATTCAAATTTCTGCGAGGCACGCTGAGGAAATGACGAAAGATCGCAGTGAAGCCTGGGAATACGCAAAGATTATTATCTTGTGCAATGTCAAGGCAGAATTTACCCTACGAATAAGGCGCACGCCGCCGGTAGGAATTTGGGAAGGGCGATGATTACGTGGGACAAACATGTTGAGTGCGCGAACCGCGAATTTCGAGTATTCGCGGTCGTCTAAAGAGCGGCGTCTAACCGCAACGAGCACCTCGGAGGATTGAAACGGGAAGGCGCAGCACCGTCTACGGTGTTTCTCAATGGGCGTTAAATGCAACGACGGAGAGGATGCAGGGCCGCGAAGTGCGATTGCGGAGGAGGTGGGAGACACGTGAGATACGATTTAACGTTCTCATAGTTCTGCGTCTCCTCCTCCTATTCCCTCCTCGGTAACATCGTGGGCGCAGGAAAAGGGTTTATCGTCGTTTAATGCACCACGGACGTACGCGAGCCGCATAATTAGCCTCGCCCGATTCGCAACTAAATCAAATTGAAATTATGACTGTAAATAGCTTCATTAAGGCACGCGAGTGAAATCGAAACGACGTTCTCGTAAAATATGTCTCACGCAGCGAGAATGAATGATGGCCATTATGCCCGGATTTTTTCCTCTCCATAACGTATGGCGTTACGGCATAAGCGTACAGGGTGTATCATAAGTTGCGCACTTTCTCGTGCCAACAAATTTTATGAATTTAAACAATTTGCAGATTGGGCACAAAGTTATCTCTCTGAGAAAATTGGCCGGACTGTTGATGTCGGAATTTTGTTAGAGTAAATCTACACTTAAGGGAAGTGTCATAAAGCGATACCGTTATCGTAAAAGCTGCACGTATTAGTTTATCAGGCGCATACGGCATAATCTTATTTTTATGCTGGAGCTGTTGCTGAACTCGTGTACAGATTAGCATGGGTAATCTGTAAGACGCGAAGTAAAAGGCAAAAGACAAAAATCGAGAATGCATATTTGCGCAGTATCACGTCGCGATAATCGTATCTGTTCGTTGCGCTACATTGGAGATAACGCGACGGTAGCGGTTGATCTCAAATAAGAACACGAGTGCGCACGACGCGAATCGCGAAAACACACGTCACATCCGCGAGCGATCTACGAAAAAGTCGAGTGATCTCGTACCGGAGATCCACGCAAAATTCAACACAAAGACAAGCAGACAAGGCTCGCGAAGGGAACCCAGGTGTGCCAGTGCGAAAGCGGTGACCCATTATCGCACCTGTGGGGGAAGTCACTGGCGAGAATCGTCCTGGTCGACTCACTCAGGAATGTTTCGAAATACCTTAACAGGATAAACAGATGCAATAAATAAGATTTCCACCTCTACTTTGAAATCGTGCGACTCAACACCGCCATTAGAAAGAGTGACATGTACCACGATCCAAATAATTGATGAGAATTACTAAAAAAATACAATTTAGTAGTGTTTAGTGTAAAAAGGATATTTAAATATTGCAGAGGTAGAAAAATTGATGTACTATGATGTTAATGAATGAAAAATTGCTTGACTAAACGAAGTTTCTTCATAATTTCAGTTTGGTAGTCATACTTTATATTTTATATTTATACTTTGGAGATGTATTTTAGAATTTCTATAGTAATAATTTTTGTTTGAAGTATTTTTATCTTTTCCTTAGACTCTCATGGAAAGTTAGAATTTCTATCTTATTAAATGTCATTAGAGCTCATTAATAATTGTTTTTGCAAGCTTCTCTCGGGGCCGATCTCTCGGCGAAATTGTACGCGGCGATGCTTTCGACGGTAAAGTTGCCTCATATCTCATCCCGTCACTCCCTCATCAATGAAGCGCGTCTATCGTGTATCGACATTACCCACGTATATATAATCACAATCCCCGTCGACTTATTCACTTTCACTCGCTTCATTCACTCCGGCGCTCGGAACGGACGTCTTCGTCGAAAGCCAGTGGCAATTCTCGATCTATCGTCGATCATTTTTTTCCAGCGGATCTTTCCGCTTCATAGAATCCGTCCAATGGTACCGTAAACCGCGCGGCACTTCCCTTTTCTGTGCGAAATTCTTGGGAAAAAGTAGGAACGAACGAAAGAGCGACCGGGAGAGGCCGTCGAGATGCTCCAGGCGACTCTTATTTTACGAGACTGGACAGCCCTGTTTTTTGAATAGCAAATAGCGAACGCGTCGCAAAACATGAGGACCAAATCCACGCTCAAGCATTTCGTGTCGACTTTCACAAATGCGATGGCATCTTTTTTCTGCCAAGAAATTAAATCGCTAGATTTCTCGGGTTTCGGATATTGACGAATTCTCACGTCTCGCGATCGGTTCAGAGGAAAAGTTCTTGCGAGCGAGAATCGGAGGGAAAAAAGAGGGAAAAACGCTCCACTTTTACTCCGCTCTTGGAGAATCTCATCGTCATGTCCGCCTCGCATTTCCACAGATACCTGGCGGCGGAAAGGCGGCCTGCCGCCGCCGCCGCTAATCACGCGTACGTATGTGTAGTCGTGATACGCTCACGCTCACGGACGACGTGCACGCGTGCAATTCGCATTCGCGTGCTCGAGTACAGACCTCTCTCAACGGGCGCAGCGTGAGCAACAGGAGCGGAGCGCCGCTCGTCAGGGTGGGGTTGGATATAGGCACTGAGCCGCGCCGATGGAAGTTTAACTCTTCGGTTTTACTTTCTAACATCTCTCCCTCCGCCGCCGCCTCGTCTCTTCTTGGAGTACTCGCGATACTGTCGTACGACGACCGTACGTCCCGAGCGTACACCTACTCCCGCGGCCGACTACAAAAATTTCCTCCTTCTCCTCTCCTCCTCCTCCTCCTCCTCCTCCACCA